AAAGTATTCTTGCATTGAGGGAGTATCCGATGTCCATCTGCTACCTTAATACTAAGCCTATAAATATATGCACATAGATCTATTTCCCCATCCTCATAAATAATATATTTACATATGCACATGCCTTATTTAGACCTCTATAAATGCCCTTTGCCTCCTAGCTCTTTCCTCTATGTGTCAAGTTTTTATACTTGACTTTAGCAAGTTTTAAACCACCAGTGTACTCCTACCAAACACAGAAGTTTCACCAATTCACTTTTCAACCCATTCAAATCTCTTAAACCCCTTATTTAATTTCTTCTTCTCTTCATTTCTAGAAGCTGTTTTTTATTTTATCTTCCTATTGTCTGTGGTTCATTAGTGATTGTGAAAAAAAAGAACATTTTATCTCTAATACTTTTTTCTGTATTTACAGTCATTTTAGATTATTTTTATATATAAGTTATTCTTGAGGTGCTTATCTATACTTATGGGGTTTTTTTAAGTCAGGAGTTTTATTTTAAAAGATCACCTTAATTTTCTTTTGTAATAAATTCAGCAGACATTCACCCACTTAGATTTATTTATCCTTTAACAGTTGAAGCATTAAACAATGGCAGTCTTTTACTCTCAGCCCTAAATAATGTCATACTCATTATATTTTAAATGGTTTTGCTTTCTCATGGAAAAAAAAGAGGCCAGGCATAAACCTTTGATACTTTCCGCTTGCTAGTCCTGCAACACGATTTTAATATGAAACTGTTACTGATGCTTGGACTATTTCTATGACGGGGTAAGAGTGACCATCATGTGGCTAGTCTTGACAGTCAAGAGCTATGATCTTTCATCTATTGTTCAATCCATTTTAATATCTGGTTTATATTATTCTCTAGATCTTCCCTTTTGTTGCTAGATAGCTGATGTACTGTTTCTTCCTTGTAGGATGCCATGGCTTCTTCATACGGAACTTGAAAAACCTCATACTGAATATTGTCTTGCAATTTCTTCTTATTATAACCCCTTGTTTCAAGCCTTTTGTACAATACACTGTTATCTGTTCTCAGCACAAAAACTATGTGAAACCAGCAATCAGGGAAGAAGTTACAACCATGGTAATCAATAGTAACTCCACCTTCTTTCATTTGGTTTCTAACTCATCAACTCCTCTATCTTCATCTAAAATGGTACAGCCATACTCTTCATCATAGCCATCTTACAACTGCCCTTCTGTAGCTAAACCACCCACATGAATGTATTTCCATCCTGATAGTGATGCAAGTTCTTCCCTGGTGTGACTTTCCAACCCCTGGTGTACCGGTGAGCAAGATGCTTGCTGCAGCATGGGCTGCACAGTGATGGCTCCTAGCGTCCCCAACTTATGTCTATTTTGTCTGCTGATTTTGCTCAAGGTATTTTATCTCCTTCTGCATTTTAGCATTTTGTTTGTTGGCTCATTCTCAACTTTTGTTTTCCTGTAGGACTCCTATGAAGTTGGGTTGTGGATGAGTTTCTCCAGAGCGGTTTTATATTTAATTCTATCTGGTATCATATCATTGGACCCAAAACAATGCAGGTATAGGGTTCCAGTTTCTCAAAGAAATCTGCTTTTATATTTTTCTGTCTGGAGCCTTATACAGGGACAAGCTTTCTTCTCATACCTTGTCTCCCTTTCTTGGATAACTTAACTCTCTGTGAGTCCAGGCTCTTCAGAGACATATTGGTTTCATTTTCTCACCTGTTACATGATGTAAAACTCATAATTATGAGGCCTATAAATGATCAGATCTTACTTTCAGTATGTATATAAAATAAGAAAAAATTATAGTCGGTATTTTATGGAAGGGGCATCTGTTTAACTGAGCCTGCCGTGTTCCAAGAAGCAGACTCTCTCTTGATGACTGCTCATTAGTCAACCAGTTCTTAGAAAATGATCGCCCACTACCTTACTCTCCTAGTGA